AAGTATTTTCTTAATTTATGGTGTGAGACAATTCTTAAGAAAATTAATATTTTAGAAAATTAGCCTAGAGAAAAACAATAATAAAAAAAATAAAATAAAATAAAAAATAAAAAAAAACTTCTTAGACTGAAAAAGGGAAGTTGTGGGAATGTGCAAGATTTCTTATTGCCGTGTGGTTAGCCTGGTAAAAACCAACCCTTTCCACAAAGCTTTACTTTGTACAGAATGTTTGGACCATTGGCTATGGAGAAATGATCGCCTACTGTAGATTGGACTCTGTTGAAGTTTTAAATGATTGGAACTGATTTGTCATTGTTCACAACCTCCTCATTCTCATTGGTGATTGGTCAGCATAAATTTCATCCTGAAAAATCAAACTCAATGGGAGAAATTCCAGATGTAGTTCTGAAGGAAGATGCGAATCAAATGGAATTGTGTATTAAAAGGCAATGGTTAGGCTACATCCTCGGAGAAAGTCATGTTTTTAAGTGCACCCTGCCTCTCCCATCCCTTATTTTTTGGTGGTTTTAGCAATTAAAAATATCTAAATGCATATATATATATATATATATATATATATATATATATATATATATGTGTGTGTGTTTATATATGTACATTCAAAATGCATACAAATTTCTATTTCAAAAGTAAATAATGTCTTACATCATGTGCAAATTAATTAAAATATTGTTAAAAGCCATCATGTTTGTCTATTGTGATATTGTCCACATCCATGCTTTATTATTCTCTTTAGGAGACCTCATGTGTATGTTTGTCATACAAGTGAATAACAAAACAACTGTCTTTTTATGGGGGCTGTGGAAAAAGTAAGAAATAGATTTGAGTGACTCACCAAAGCCTACAATAGAGGCTGAAGAGTTGCCTCTGCTGTGACAGCATTTCTTGTATATTTACATCTTTTCCTCATGGGATTGTCCATGAATGTAGGACTACCATCCCCAAAAGGAATATCACAGTAAACTAATCAAAAAGCTCTGACACAGGCGGCTCTCATGTCCCAAAGAGGAATGCTCCCCTCCACACTAATTGGTAAAGTTACATCCGTTGTATATATCTGCAGAGACATCACTCAACGTGAACATTTATGATGAAAAAAAAAAAAAAATGATATCAGGTTTTTTGCACACTCACGAGGCAAAGTCAACAGGGGGCCTCAGTCGAGTCCCTTGTTTGGATAAACAGACAAACATCAATTTAGCAACCCTGATTCCATCTCTTTAGGCTAACATACATTACCGCTCAAATAGACTAAATGGATGTTCTAAACGGCAGCTCATAAACAAACGACAGCAGGGTGGGAATGATCTTTGCTGTAGCACAAAAGGATGGCACTCCAGGGGGTTGCATCTCTCCGCAGTGGCAGGATGTGATCAGGGATGTCCCTGCTGAAAACTATCCAGGTTAAATTATACCCAAAGCATAGGCAAAAGAATAAAAAAAGATGAATGTAATAAGAAAAAAAATGTTGACCTTAAACACTTAAAGCCCACAAAAACAAAGCAAAAAAGCAATTCTGCCTTAACAAACACAAGACCTTGGAGAAAAGAAGAGAGAAGATAGAAATAGAAGAAAGGGGAATAAGTGTGTAAGCTGAAGTGTGTGTGTATGTGTGATGCCAAGAGGGAGAAATAAATGGGAAGATGGGGCTAAAAGGAAGTGAAATGACAGAAGAGAACGGAAGTATTGGGGTCACACTGATGGGCACTGAATTGTGTTGTGAATTGAATGAACTCATCTTTGAAAGACTACTGTGTATTTTTTCCTTTATTGAGAGAATAGCCATATTAACATCCTGTTCTCTTTGCGAAGTCAAAGCCATATCAGATGATGATTGGGTTTGAGAAACGCTCTGATGGGAAAATAGAACCCATTGCATCCACATCACCATCTCACACCACACTGGCATATGCGGCTCACTGCCTCTTACTCCTGCCAGAATTGAAGAGCTTGCACAGAGGAAAGTAAATAGATGGTTGAATAGCAATGGCCTCTGCCACCGAACCTTTTATCAGTGGGAATCTAACAGCCGTGCCGTTTTAGAATTTCAGTTTAGCTTCCGATTACGGTATGTCCCGGCATTTTATTCCCTACATCTCTATGCTTCATAGCCTTCAAACACTTCTCGGTAACTGCCTATTATCCAACAGTTCCACTCCACTGACCCTGCCAATAAAACTCTTCATATCCTTATAAATGAACTCAATTGCGGCGTTCTAAACATTTACACTGCGCTAACAGATCATCTTCACACCTCGGAATTGGCTAAATTCCTTTTTCCTTATGAATATATAGGAGGAGATTAGAGATATGATAGCTTTTCAGATTGCTGCACCCAGTGAAATTAGTTTAGTGAGCGTTTACAGACTAAATTGGAACCATTAAATAGCGGATTGAATTGATGGCACATTCATTGTCTCTCCATCGGTATCACTGTAAAATCAATTAGCCGTCACTTTTCCATTCTCAATAAAGTATGATTGTCAGCTACGGATGAGTAAAGAAGACCCCGACAGCTTCTCACACCAGAACGCCATGTGAAAACAAATCTGGGCCAGGGGTCTGGCAAATGTAATCTGTAATTGTGCAAAAGGAAGCAATTTTCTGCACCATGCATAGGATGTGCCATAAGGTTAAAAATGTATCACTAGAAGTGATGTTGCGATGCTCTAATCACATTGTCAAGGTAAGAAAATGTAGGCATTGCCTATTGATTTTTGTCATATTTTTAAATGTGTAGTGTTATTTTTACAGTAATAAAATTTGTACAATCTGAAAAAAAAAAAAATATATATATATATATATATATATATATATATATATATATATATATATATATAGGAAATAAATTGACAGTGATACTTTTCATGTTTAATTGCAATAGAAACTTATAACATTATTATCATCATCACCCTATCCTAATAGGTTTCTCTATTTTACGATTACACCAGGAGTAGAAGTGTTAGTTATCATTTTATCTGCTTATGGCTGGAGGATAACAAAGGGGTTAAAATGATTTTACAATGTGAACCATCGTATTTTTAACAATAAGAATGATTTTTTTTTATTACTTTGCAAATTCCAACAAATAACAGTAAATATTTACTGTCATGTTATTTTATTATGTATTTATCAGGTTTTGTTTTCCAGTTCTAAATCTACCGAGTTCAGAAAGCTTCATTCCAGTACGACTCTCTGCTACATACATAAAAATACAGTTCTTCATTTCTTTTCTACAAGACAAAGAAGACTTTTCTTGAAAACCAGGTATCAAATTAAAGTGCTTGTGCAACACCATCATCATTCTCTTGTAGCTTCTGGTCAACGTTCACCTTTTTGCCATTTCATAACTTTATTTTGTGCTCATGGATTGCCATTTCTATCTCACCTGCTACCATTTGGTATCTATGAAAAAAAAATAATTCGTACCCACAAGCCTAATCGTCAACATCATTTACCATGTTGTACAAATATAATTACCACACTATGTATTTCTCTCTGTTGGTTGTTTGGTTAAGCTACGGGGATAAATATTAATTCAATAAAATGATAAAAAAAATGCTAATTTGCAGCAAAGTATATGTGCCTTTGTTCGCACTGGAAACAGACAAATTAGTCTGGGCCTTGGGTCAGTTTGCAAATTCATATTTTTATATCCAAGTGTTCCCATTTCTTCTCACCCTACTTCCATTTCTGACTCTTAAATAGCTTAGTACCCATGTAAAACCCTTCGAAGACATACTTTTCGAAGGGTTTTCTTAAACCCTTTTTCTTAGCGCAAACTAAGAGTAGATTTTGGGAAATTACTTTGATTGAAATGCAAAGTGGGGAGAAAACCAATTAAACATGGGTAAAAATTTGCACACACTCAGTAGGAAATGTCCCGTAATGAACAAAAGTTGGGTGAGAAACGGCCGTAAGTTCTGAGATATAAAATCTATGTCTTGTTACAGTGTGCTGCTATTATGTTTTCAGCTATTTTAGTTACTTGTTTTTACTAGACACGGTATTCATAATGTAAAGAATTAGCTGGTAACATTTTAACGTAGGGTTAGGGTCAGACAGAATATGGTCTTTTTGACCATGAATTGACATGTAATTGGTACAAAATATTCTGTGGCAAGGGATTTTTTTCCACATGTAAAATACTGAAACTGCCAAGCTAATGAAAAAGAGGTTAAATAACAACCTGCCCTCAGGATATTAGTCTGGTTTGTGTCTGTTATAAATAACTACAGTTATCCACTGTTATTATTAACAGACATTCATAACATTTAGTTATTTTATGTGTAAAGATGAAAATCTACCTTGCATGCCATTTATTACTATTATAATTACAATCAAGCTGTCCTGTAAATGCATTGCCATATGGTGGAGTGTTTTGCTGGCCTGTTATATATTACACCACACTGTAATGTTCTACTTCTGGTCTTGCTAATCAAAAAAGTCATTTGTTTAACAGATTGTCGTTTGGTATATATTTGCATTGTTAGTCAGCTGTTCTGTTTGTGCTGCAAATCAAACAGCTTTGTGTCTACCAGTTTGCCAGAGGCACAGCTAGATATCCTCCGAGATCAAGACTCTCATCTAATTTTTCTTCTAATGAAATAAAATAGGTTCTCCCAGTGTCCCTCATCCAAATGCTATGTGCAATGTCTGCACCTAGAGCCTCTGCTCCCGACACCTCCTTATTTTCTCTGCATGGAGTAACATATGAACATGCATATGAAAATTACCAGAGGCACCAGCATCACATATGCTGTAATGCCATGGATGGCACAATGCAGCAAAGCCAACTTTTCATTAGGCCATTTTGTTTAGTTGAAACAACAGATGAAGCTTTTTTTGTGTGTGTGTGTGTGTTTGTTTTCAGCTAGAACTGGATTGGCCAACAGCCTGATTGACACTGCAACTTTTAGGACCTGCCAACATTTATCTGCTGGCAACAGTCATGTGAAAGAAGGGCAGAAAACACAAGATTAGCAATAAAAGGTCTGATCTTTAGAATTTTGCCATGCACATTCTACTCGTTTTGTCGAACAAAACTGTTTTCTAATAGCAGTAAGAGGAGTTAAATTGTTTGACTTTGACTGTTTGAACCGTCCATTGGGCAAAAATATTCACATTGATTAAAAATTTTGATTCACCAAAGGTTTCACTAAACCCACAAGGTTTCCAAATCTTTTCATTCTAAATACATAATCCATCTCCCTTACTCCTAAAGGAAATCATTACATGCGGCAAAACGGCAATTGATGTTGACTGAATGATAGAAAATACTACATTCCTGTCATTGCAATTGGAGCAAAAAGTATTAAAATCATTGTCAAGACCACATTCCTTAAATGTCTAAGCAAAATTAAAGCATCTTTAGCCGCCTGCATCAGGCGTCACAGCAGCAGAGGATTGATTATCTCCTTACAGATTGAGGGGCTTTTAGATTCTCAGATGAAAGGGGAGACGTGAATGCAGTCGGGTCTTATTGCTTCATGTTATCAACATTTCAGCTACCAATATATGTACCAATACACATCAGATGCTCATCTCGCAGGTAAATACTTTGATTTCATGAATACAAATGGTTGCTCACAATAGGAACGGTAAGAATTCAATCTATATCAATCTGATTCAGAGACTTTGCAGGCTCTTAGAGAAGAATGAAGGGGTTCAGTAGTCGCCTTCAGATATGAGCTCAGTGTTTGGTTTCAGTGGAAGTTGGGGGGGAGGTATAATAATAAACTGACTGTGTGCTTTGCAGTTAGCCAATAGCTGCTGGGCTCTCAGGTCGGTGTGGGATTGACAATGTTTAAAGAGGCAGGCCAAGCAGCATCAGGGTCAGAAAAGGTTCCAGGTACCTGATCAACCTTAGACCAGTCCAGGAGCTCTTTAGTGCTCAGAAACTAAATGCGGGTGAGCAAAGCTTGCAGGGAGGCTTTTCTCATGAACCTGGCCAACGTGGGAGACGGGCTGTGGCGTAGGTCTGGAGATTCCTTGGAAAAACCAACAGCTGACGCTTGGTAGCAGGTGGGGTGCCGTTCTGTCCACAGGTGCGGCACAGATGCCTCTGAAGCAGAGCGAGCACCAGTTATCCTGGGACCCGGATACTCGCTGGAGTCTCCCGATTCCGTCTCACCCACAGCCTCTGCATCTGCTCAGTCATTCTCTTAGAGTAATTACACTTGACACCTGGTGGGCACATGATGGATGCTGGGAAACAAGAACAGAAATGTGACATGATTGTTTTACAGGGTTCAGTGACAACAGATTAAGTCAGATCTCTTCGCATGACAATAGTTTTTATGCCGTTTTATATGCCGATATGAAATAAATGGCGTCTATATTTCCTTAGATTTTATTTTAGATGTTCAGAATTTCAAAGACATAATGAAGAATAAATGAAACGTACAAGGAAATGCTTTCAAATTGGTGTCATAATTGCCATTTGGAAGATTCATAATTACAGAGTGCAACCATCAGATAAAAGAGTGTGGATAAAAAAAAAATGGAGTTGGACTTCTAATGGAAATCTGTTTGGAGGGGGATAGTTTCTAATAAGTAATTTTGCCTAATAAACTATAACTGATTTAATCTCCACGTTATCAGGCCAAGATTTCACCACTTTCCTTTTTAATTGGCTATTTTGTAATCCCGATTCCCAACAGAGCGGATGGTCTTTCTCCCTCTCTGGAGAGATACCATGAAATCAGTTTGAAACAGTGTGTCAATCTCATTCTGAAGTGGCCATCTGGCCAGTGTACAGAAGCAAGGGATGGCATGCTGAACCGCGGGGTCTCTGTGAGGCAATCATGAGCAGATTTACACAATGTGTTAATGCAAATTTAATAGAGACTTCCTATCAGCCACTTTAATCTTCCATGTGTTCTCTTGGCCCGACCAAAACCAATATTTAACATCGAGATCCCAAAAATAAGCATCAACTTTCAGATTTTTAAACACGATTCAAGTGGAGCAACCATATGTCAAAAATAACTAAGATGATTTACAGTCCTGGGTAAAACTATTAGCATACTTAGGCAAAATACAAAACACAGTTTTCAAACAATAATTTAATTTATTTAGGGGAAAAAATATTCAAATTAACAAGGCCTTATACATAAAAAAAAAATAGATAATTTCTCCCTTATGAACTATTTTTTGGAATGGTGCATTTAAATTCACAATCAATACCCACACCTCATTACTGCCAGACTTGTTCAAGAAATGACTTACACAGAACCTGCCGGACATCACGAAGTAGACTGAAAATGTCCTGCATACCAAAATGACTCCTACATCAACAATTCATCCAGTAGGTGACACAAAAACTCATAACTACATCAAATGCACTGCAGAGCTCCCCTTCCTCACTTAAGATTAATGTTTTATTTTCAGTAATATGAAAGACACTGAGCAAAAATTCTGTCCAAAAGAGCAGTTCAAGGTTAAAAATCACCGTTGACCAAAGAAAGTACAAAAGTACAAAAGCCTCTCACACATTTACCAAAAAAGATGCTTAGAAAATGTGGAATTATGAGAGAAAGTTGGACCTTTTGGGAAAGTGTGCATCCTAACATATCTGTCATTAAACTAACAGCATTTACAAAAAAGTGGGATGCGCTGGTGCTACCTTACTGCTGCAGGATCTAGACAACTTGAGGAAATGGATGAAACCATAAATTATGTTTCCTGCAGAAACCTTGAAAGAAAATGTCCGACCAGTTCAGTTGAGATACGTAAAAGGAAATTGATCTGAAGGCACAACGACAAGTACTGTCAGAAAATAAATGAAGATTTGGAGTGGCCAAGTCAAAGCACATATTTAAATTAAGACATGGGCATCATATTTGACAGAGTGTTTAAGATTAAAACCATTTTGAAAAGAAAAGTGGGGCAAAGTTTCTCAACGGTGATGTAAATGCTTGACGAAAAGCTGTTACTGTCAAACATGGTTGAATCAGTTAATTACTTTCTTCACAGTGGTTTGGGTAGCTTTTTTTTATTAATCAAGTAACTCCCAGTTTTTGCAGTGTTTTTTTTTTATCAGATAGTTTCTTTCAGTTTTCGAATGACTGATGCATAACAAAAAGGCAAAACATATAAATTGTTGTGCTGTAAACATTTGAACCATCATTGATGTTAGTTATATCCAGCTAAACAAACAAACTACTAACTTAAACTATAAAATAAAATGAAGTCATAGACAAAGACTGGATAATACTCAGTGCCACACACCCACTATTGACAGAGCCCAAACCATCGTGTATGTCTGCAGACTTGTGAGTCAGAAAGTCAAACATCAATAAGTGCTGAGATGATGGGATGTATGTCAAAAGAAAAGACTTTATATTTGTTTGGTCCAAGTTTCCAAGTAAATAAAAGATTTCTTTATTCTCTTATTTACAATAAAATTGAACTTTATGAGACAAAGCACTGTATATAAAATGAAATTAAAAACAAATACTATTGCCCAAATATAACATATATGGTAGATTTAAACTTTACTTGAGTGTTAAATCACAAAAAAGGATACAAATATAAAAATCAAAGTGTGAATTCACAAGCAGTTTTTACTGCCTGTATGATTTTATCTCTGAAATCATTTACCAGGAAACATGTAAAGAGATTTTCCAAGTCATTCCAATCATTCTTTTCTTAAAAAAAAAGTCACACAGTTTCCCACAATGTTACATTTCTTAGACATCCGTCAACATAGAAGTATGAAGAAGCTAAAAAAACAAACAAAAAAAAAAACTCTACGGGGTTCCAAAATGCCTTTCATAACACTGATTTGCTAATGACTGCGACTTATAGCCAAATGTTTAAAGACATTTTTTTTTTCTACTTGGTGTTTCAAATTTAGTTTGACAGAAGAACAGCTGAAGTAAATGACATTTTTTTAATTATTTCAACCAAAAAAACGAAAAACAAAAAAAAAGACTATTTGCTTTTGTTCAAAGACAATAAATCTACATTGTCTTGCAGTGTCCTTTTCTTTATTATTTGCTTTGGCCCTGTCGGACCCTTTGTTGTTTCATCATGCAGCTCCACAGCCCTGCTGCAGCAGTCACATATGTACCAGCAGTTTCCCCTGAGAGAACTGAATGAATGCATATTAATGAGCTTCCATATGAACACGCGCCACGACACTGGTGTTGTAAATGAATGAAGACGACAGAGGACCTTATACCCCTGCCCCCTCCCTTTCTATGCATAAATGCAGTAAACAAAAGAACTGATTCCACATTTTCACTTCACATTAAGTAGAGAACGAAAGATAAAACTTTTAAAAATATCATACATAAATTCTGTTTTAGACTAATAGTTTTTTGTTGTTTTTTTTCCTTGTGCTGTCAGAACATGTCAGGGATGAGAGGAAGAGTTAATGAGGCTGTGAATCATTTCCCAAACTTTAAGGAAACTTTTTAATAAACCAGCCAACTCAGAATGATAGTCATTCCAATCACTCGGATTAATAAATACTCCAAATTGTTTTGTTTCAACCCTCCAAACATTTGGAGTTTTATCTTATTTACACTTGTTGGACCTTTCAGCTTTCAGGCACCCTGAAATATCTTTTTTGTCATGCTACATTCTCAGCTAATTAAAATACGCTGAATGGTTTTCCTGCAAAATGACATTGTCATATCTGCATAATACAGGGCCCCGGTTTTTATAAATGGCTAAGAACAGGTAAATAAAAACCTTTGATTTCATTTCAGCTTGGATGTTTCTTAACAAAAGAGACAAGGCCAAAGACAGGCTGTGGATATCAAAATGGAAATTTCCCAGGGTGTTTAATTGGATGGCCACTTTTACTTAACTTATCTTTGCAGCCAAACTCATTCACTCGAAGTGAACATTTTCCAATTAAAGAAAAATAACTATTTCCTCTCAGGTTAAAAGCGAGCCTTTAACTGTCGCATTCAGTTTTGGCAGCTTGTGTCGGAGTAAACAAACAAAGCACTGAAGCAAAGTCCATTTTTGACCCCGTGAAGTGCATCAAGTTTGCTTGCATACCACAACTTCTTTTGCAAATTTACCAAAAATATATATATGCTGGAAAAACATGCGTGCAGCATTTGGGTTTTAATGTAAAAAGCATGCTTGTTTAAAGATCTGAAAATAAAATTCTGACACAAACGACTACCCTGAAAATCCCCTGCTCCTCCTAAGTCAGACAACATGTCATGAATCATGATAAACATTTTTAAATAACACATATTTTGCAGTTTCAACAACAAACTCAGTGAAGAACAAATGATTTCATTCGCTTCAGAATAATGGAAAAAATCTCCTATATTGTTTTTTCTTTTCTTTTCTTTTTTTTTTTTTCCTTTTTGTTCTTGGACGCTGCAGAGCCCAACATTAATCCCAACTGTCTGTAAAATTGAAGCAATAAAAACCACAAGCAGAGGCATCACATTTCACCATGGTGATGCTCCTCAAAAGTATAGATCCACAGACAAACAATGATATACTTGATTGTTTCAGTAAAGATTCCTGGACTCTCTGCATTCCCTTTGTTGTACATGAGAGAGACATTACACCAATAGTGGATATGACCTCATTTGCTGCAAAGAGGAAATTTAATTAACAGAGCAAACAGAGTCTGCCAATATGCCTCCACAGAGACTGCAGAACAGGAACCTGCAATACTGTCTTTAAAGACTGGCCAACAGCTGGACTGTGAGGGTTTTTTTTTTTTTTTTTTTTTTTGTCTATCTGCGTTAAAAACCGATAGATTCATATCTTCAAAGAATTCTGCACTCGGAAATTAGGTAGACTGGATCTACATAAACAGTTAAAAAGCAGAAAATTCTAAAATCTTCTTTATCGTAATAATTTATCTCGGAAAACTGCTCACTTGACTTCATCGCTGTTCTTCTTTGCTGCTTTTGTTGTGCCAAAATAAACTAAAAAATCCCAGGAGATACTGGTGTATTTCTTCTCCAATCCAGTTCATGTTTTGGCCAAACTTACTTTATAAAACACAATGTGATGAAAAACATTTTCCCACTCTACTTTGCGGTGGAAGCACAAACTCATCCCTGCACACATGCCAAAGAAAGAAGCCGAGCTCACAACCTTTGTCCTCTCAACATTTTAAAGAAATATTAACTTCTGGTTTATTTTCTTCTAATCTTACAAAAAACACAAAATCTGCAAAAAATAATATTTACAGTGTCTCTGCACGGTACTTTCTCATT